TACACTGGTGTGCAAAAATTAAGGACGAGACGGTTTTTTTCAATATAACTTTGTACAAAAGCTTTCCAAATCAACACATTTAATACTGTAAGATCCCCAATACGTAAGGACATAAGTAATGTAAGCAACACTTACTAAAAAGAGAAATCAGAGGGATAAAAAGAAGCTTTATTGAAAAAGTAGCATGGAGCGAATGCGACTGAAGGCCGAAACATCCCTGAGATGGGTGTCCAGCAAGAAACATCCGGTCTTTAATAGGGGATATGATCTCCCCTGACTGCTAGGCAGGTTTCACAGCGTCTGCCCATGCTGAGAATGAGGGTGTCAATGAGTTGTTGAGGCATTACTGCCCATTCGTCTTGCTGCGCCAATCGAAGCTCCGGAATCGTTACTGGTGGTAAGGTACGAGCTGCCAAGCGTCTGCCTAAAAAATCCCATACATGCTCGATGGGATTGAGATCCGGAGATCGTGCCGGCCAATCCATACGTTCAATATCCTCACTCTCTAAGAGCTGTTCGGCAGCTACTGTGCGATGACATGGTGCATTGTCGTCCATGAAAAGGAACTGCGGACCCATAGCGCCTCTAAAAAGACGCACATATGGAAGAAGAATCTCGTTACAATAACGGGTCGCGTTGACTGAACCTGCGTCGAAGATGTGAAGGTCTGTACGACTACCAAGCATAATGCCTCCCCAAAACGAGAACACCGCCACCCCTCCATACCTTTCCCTTTCAATGATTTCGAGGGATGATTGCGGCTTCCCCGCTCTCTCCAGATGATATGCGATGAGAATCGCTACTCAGACTGAATCTGCTCTCATCTGTAAAGAGTACTCGTCCCCATTCATTGTCTCTCCAATTCCGGTGTTCCCGGCACCACAGAGAACGCCTTCTCCGATGGGCAGGCGTTAGAGGCACCATACAGGGCGTCGTGCAAACAGATCACCACCGTGCAGTCTTCTGGTCACGGTAAAACGCGATATCGGTCGTCCAGTCGCCTGTGTCATGTGTCTAGCGATTTCTCCCGCTGTCTGCCGCCTGTTTCTTCTGGCCTGTAAGGCAATATACCGGTCATCTGCGGGTGTGGTTCCTCGTGGACGACCACTACTAAACCCCCGGATAGCTGTTCCTGTAGTTTGAAATTGTCTCCAAAGTCGTGAAACGATGCTGTGAGCAATTCCCGAAACTCTGCAGCCACACTTGTCACACTGCGGGCCTTCCTCAACTTCCCAATGATTCGACCTCGGGTAAAAGCATCCAGATGTCGTCTAACAGATTGATTATTCGCCATTTCTCGCTGAGGCAGCAACTCGGTGTGATCTTAACTGCTATACGGTGTGCAATCTCTTTGCCAGAAATACTGATCTTACACCGACAACATGCTTTATGCTACTCAGACACTCCCCCATTACGTCTACCTACATATCTGCGCATGTGCTACCGTATCACCTTACTTAATCTCCTGATTGGTCTTTCTGTCCGCTCTGCCTCTTCGTTCAGCTGATATGCTAATTTTTCGACTTCGTCCTTAATTTTTGCACACCAGTGTATTTGGAAAACGACTCGTCTGCGCTGGGATAACCCGGAAACTGTACGTGATTATTCACGGAAAAAATTTGAGTTTTTAATGTACATTTTTAATTGTTCGCAATGAATACAGTCAAAATAACAAGCTTTTCATTTTCAGTATTTAAAGCAGTTATCATATGGCTGTAAGTCAAGAGTATTACTTATACATAAAGTGGAAAATGTTATTCTCTCATTCGATTTCCTGTTAATTGATAAAAATCTACGCAAAATGGCGTATAATAGCCAAATGTAATAGCCGGATAATCACTAGAGTTTTGAGATGCCAGTTGAAAACCCCGACGTTCCGAATAGTGATTTATTCCTGGCTGCAAAAGACAGCTGACTCAAACAGATAAGGACAGACGTGTTGGGGTCTGCGCTAATCTAGAGCCACTAGAGATTACCTTTATAGTAGCCTTACGCTAATCTAATAAAATTACCAATGACGTTTTCTGATGCTGTAAATTCACACGAATGTTACATTGATTACACGTATATATCTGGCTATAGCGAAAGTTTTTTTACAGAACAATGTTCTTAATGTTCTTAAAAAAAAAAAAAAATTGAAAGCTGTACTTCTAGTGAAGGTAGTAATCATCACCCAAATCTATGATTCTATGCCAACGTTTTGGAAGATTTTCAAAGTCTTCGGGTCAGAAACTTGGTGGCCGCAAATCCAAAAATAGATTAACCTCATTTCGGACACCCTGTGAGGAATGGAATATAACACCAGTAAGAAAGGTGGTCATTATACTCCATGGGTGTGAGAAAAGGTAGAAATCCGAAGATGCAATGTCGGAGTTTATATGGTGGGTGTGGCAAACGATCGCATTCGAGTTTGTGCAGAGTCCAAACCGTAAATGTAGACGCATGTGGTCTTGCCAAGGAGGTTAGAATAGAAGGAGGGAAGGTTCAACTCAAACGGTGAAGCTTGGCGGCCATATTCCTGTTATCGCTGTGACTTGTGCAAGGAAGTCTGTAATTGCAATATTTTTTCCTTTTTTTTTTGAAGCATGTCAGCTTGTGTTGTATATGGATGCACAAACAGATTGTCGAAAGAGATTCCTGGGATTATTTTTCACGTGTAAGTATTGATTTTTAAAATTTTTTTTATATATATATATGTGTGTAATTTGATAACTATGGTAAAAAATATCACAATGTAATGTGTTTTTTTTTCCAGATGTGAAAAAAAGGACTTAGTAATAATCAAAATATGTAAATACATTTAATGTTTCTCTTTACAGCTGCATCTTTCTTCCTTAACATACATGAGGTATGCTAGGATTAAACTGTATAATTTGACGTTTTTAGGTAATTCGTTTGTTGATTTTCATGAAAAGTAAGACACCATTGTTACTATTTTTATGAATTGTAAAGGTATTAAATAAAGTAATGCTTTTCTTTATGTATTAATTTTATTCATTTTTACTTTTGTGAACTGTTAGGAATATAATTTATACATTTGATCAAGATAAATTAAGTTTTCTGTTGTTAAAATTTTTTTGCATAAATTTACAAATTTGTGGGCAGTATAGCGATAAAAGTAAGTAAAATATTTACACAACTGGAACGTGTGGAAAGATGTATCCAAAAATATAGGTATAGGTATACTTCTGTAATTCAGCTTAATTCAATGCTGATTTACAGAATTCTTTGAGATTCATAAATATGAAACGCGCATAAACTGAATTCACAGAAATCTGTTTTATTTTATTAATATTTATTTTCTTGTTATTATAAGGTTGTTGGTTGTGAAAAGAATCTATTTAAAACTTTCATTTTTAAAAAAATGCAACCTGTGACTATTTTTTTAGATCTGCTATTAATTTCAGGTTAAAATATTTTAAATGATTCTTTAATAATTACACTATTGTGAATAAATCAGAAATATCACTTCTTAAGAAAAAATTGGAAAGTACATCCAACAGGTTGCTAATAAAACCTAAAAAATTCTTGAAATATGCAGAAACATTATTTTTAAAGGCTTTAATGTTATGCACATGCATTTAGATTTCGAACTATTTCTTATGATTTTCTGTACGTATCATCAAAGGATATTATCTTTATAACTTTTTTAAAACAAAAAAATCACAATAGCGAAATATTTCATTTAATGTTAAATATTTTTAGTGGAAAATACATGCACGGAGCAGCTTAAAAACACATATGCTTCATTGCCGTAATACGAGTTTTGAAGTACAATGTTTTGAAGTTACAAACATGGACGCCGCTTGTTCGGTGGAGTTTCATTTCCCGATAGTGGAGGAAACTGCGAACCCTCCCTCCTTCTATTCTAACCTCCTTGGGTCTTGCATTATATTGGTGGAACATTACCTTTTCGCGCCGGAACTCAGTTTAACGTTTATCCTTGATAGCAGTTTCAACACGGACTAGCGCCTCGCTGTTACTGTCCAGGGTTTTACTTTATTCCAGATTTGTGCATGATACTACGGCAATCCCACCAGATACAAAACATGATCTCTTTGTTAATCAAATTGGCTCTACGTCGCTGCCGGGCGCAAACCAACTCTCTTTTCGGCCCGTGTTGCTGAAGTAAATCCACTTTTCATCACAAGTTACGATCCGGTGCAAAATTTTGTCCTTGCGTTGATATTCGAGCAGCCTAGTGCCAACCGGAACACGTCTCTCCTTATCTGTTTTATTCAGTTCGTACAAAACCCGGCAATTGAACTTGTAAGTGAAGTTTCTGAAATGCATAATGCGACTAATGGACATGGGGCTAAGGTCTAATTCCTTAACAAGCTCTCGAGTGGTTGCATACTGATCCTTTTCCAGAAGTTCTCGCAGGCGTACTTCATCAACATCAGCCGGCCTGGCAGAGCGCTCTGCTTCTTGAATGTCATAGTCCTTTTTTTAGAACTTTCGTACCAAACCTTCACAGTGTGTCAAATGATACAACATTAGTACCTAAAGTTGTGCAAATGATTTGGTGAAATTCTTTAGCTGAATTTTTGCAACAAAACTGACGAGTAAAAGTAAATGATGGTTCTAATCTGGTAGCGTGATAGTTTCATTTCATACTACATTTTATACTTAATGATAACGATATTTTTGGGCAGATTTCACAACATCCTGTTCTAAATCAAGTCTCCTTCTTTCAATTGCCAAAAATTGTTTGACAAAATATGAAGTAACTCGCCAGCGAGAACTGTGCGGTGGCGGGAAACTTTTGTTAATACTGGATATTTTGAAGCCAGAAATATTAACTTGTATGCTATATTAATTCAAAATTTGATAATTGAGATCTTTTTAAAGTGCTTCTTGGGTACCAATTTCTTTGGCGTAATCAAATTTTATTTAATAAAGGTAACAGAACGTCTTACAATATAAATTTTTGATTTAGTTCTATTTTTTAGCCATACGGATAACATAATGCTCCTCTCCTTAGGATAACATATATAGAGAATGTTCAGAAATTTGTCAGATATCTGGATTTTTTTTGTTCTGAAATGGAAATACGATATATCATTTTAATAATCGTTATCGCGGAGCTTTAACCGAGATCATTATTTGTAAACAAAAAACTGATCGTCAGGTGCTCGTAAGCATGTTAGAAATTTAAAATTATGTACTGTGAGTAGTATGTCCAAATCTCTTGTTGCGGATTACGAATCCACTAGTGAGGAAGAAGATGAAGCTTGTTTAAAGTCTGGGTAAGGGTTATAAATTTTGCTTCCAACTAACAAATAAATGGAGACACAATAACACGCCGAATAATTACAAAACAGACTTTTGTTGTTTGACTTCTGAATCAAATAAATGGACTTTGAAAGTCTAATAGAAAATGCATGTACCCATAAATACACCAAATAATTTTTTCTAATCATTATGTCACCAGTGATTATTCTTGAAGTACATGAAGATGCGTTTTTTATCTTAGGTGAACAAATAATGTTATAATTTTATCACAAAAATATTTTGTGTATTAAATATGATTTGTAATCTTCCGAGATGCATGAAAACATCTACGAACTGTTTAATCTAGTTCACCATATGATTAAACTTGTTATATAAGGGCAATAAATATTTCAAAGTGTTTTATTTTGGCGAAATTAACATCTAAAACAGTAGTATCAATGAATATTTAAGGTAAATGAAAACAGTTTTAAAACTAAAATGCATAAAAAAATCTTTAATTGTCAGCAATAAAGGGGTAAATTTTACAACCATATTCTGAATTAAAATTCCATCTAACTAGTTTTTATATTCTCCAGGTGCTGTTTTTGAAGCTTCTGTTTTGTAATTTTAGTAATATACATATGGTGATTAGTTTAAAGATAAACATATAATTTGTTAAGATGCACAAAATATGATCATTAAATTTAAAAGAAATATTTTCATAACTTAAAACAACGATCTGATTTTTAGCTACTAAGAGTTTCTAAAAATTATTTTAATGATATATATATCATGTAGGGCAAAGGCATATCTTGAGTTTTCATATAGAATATGCTGCTGGAAACCAAAATTAAAAAAAATATATTTATGAATGCAAGTTAGAATTACATGTATTCAAAAGTTGCCTATAATATCTGCATATTAATATATAGTTAAATATTGCACAACATGTACAAAAATGAAATGCACGCAAAATTTAAATTTCATCAGATTTAAGGTCTGAAATGTTGAGATGGAAATTTTTTCAAATAAAACTTACAAATAATTTGTATCATAAGTCTAATTTATCTAAAGTCATAATTTAATTTTGCTTGATTGATGGATATCGCAAAATAATTTATTTTTAAGTATAATCAGAAAATAAATTATGCCAATCAATTATTAAGTCATCCTAGCACCAGATAAAAGTTAAATACTGGTACTGATATTGTCAAAATCAGCAATTAATTTTTTAAAATTTCACTTATCATGTTACAAATACTGATGGTATTTGCACATGGTATATATTTACATGCAAGTTTATTTTTAATCTCAAGTGCAAAACAGAAACCATTCAATTCAAATAATTTGTAAGACTAGTGTTAGATATATTTATTAGAGTTTTGAATAAATTGAAACTGCAAGAAAGAAATTTCCCAGCATTCACTAAAGTTTGCAGATTGGCATATTATTAGAATCAAGCTTGCTTTTCGCTTATTTTCTTGGACATATTACAGTTTCATGATACAGATAATTGATTTCACATTTTTTAATGCATATTCTGTTTGGGGGGGGTATGTTTCTTTTGTGTATTTCTTTTTTGTGACCTAAAACTGTAACTTTTTGATTTAAATAAACTAAGAAATTGTTATCTTATTTCTTGCACATATTTATGTGCTCATTAGGGTCAAACTAAATATAACAGAAAAAAATTATGGTTATTTATTGTAATTAATGGGAAAAAAAAATCCAGTAACTGCAAGTATTTATCTTAATCATTTTTAAATGAATTTCATTTAATATGAATTTTGCAATAAACTTGAAATTTATAATTTGTATTCTTTCAACAGTAAAGAAACTCATGTTGTTCCTTTGGCATCAGCAACGGAGATGCTTGACCAAAATGGACCTAATATTTCAACTTCTGTGTTTACAAATCCATACAGAGAAGCTGCAAACTATGAACAAGCTATTTTAGAAAAGCATGTCAAAATGACAACTGTAAAAGAGCCAGAGTTCAGTCAGACTACAAAAGTTTGCTTCAAATTTTTCAAAGGCAAGTGCAAACTTGGTGATAAATGCCGCTTTCGTCACCATAATACAACTATAATTAATGATTCTGAAAATGATGAAACTATAGATAATAAACAAAAAAGAAAACGATGTGGTTTGAAAGATGACCTTGTACCTCCAAACAAATATATGAAAATTTATAATAAATTAAAAAAGTAACTTTTCTCTCCATTATTTGTTCTGTTCAATTGTTGTAATTTGTCAAATTACTGTTCTTTCTCTGATGATTATATTTTAGCATTATATGTCAAAGTTTAAAATATGTACGTAAGTTTACATATAAATAAAAATGAATTAAAGAATAAAAAAGGTATTAAATCAGGAATGTCAAACTCATAGGTACACTTGGGCCAAACAAACAAGGTTTAACTTTAGGTGGGCTACAAAAAAAAAAAAAAAAAAAAAAAAAAAAAAATCAATATTCATAGAAACGTAGATTTATTTCAAATAATACATAATAAAATATATATATATTTATATAGAAAAGAACAGAAAAATTTAATGTTTACGTCCTGATACTTGACACTCGGCTGATCTTTGGAATATGGTAACTGTTGTTTGGCGACATTTGGAGGCAATAAAGGTATGTCAAAATGGAAAAGCATGTCAAAATGACATGCTTTCTAAACTTATATTGACATTTTGGAGGCAATAAAGGTTACTACTAGACTTAGAAAAGCATGTCAAAATGACTGCTTTCTAAAAACTTATATGGTTATAATGTGAGAAGTACTCAGTTCCGATTACGCATATTTTGTGTAGGAATGAGAGATCATGAGATATGTCATGTGACATTAATGGACGAATTACAATGGGGAAACGGGAATCAAAAAATCGGAAATTTGTACAGTCAAAGTCTTAATTTTGAACACCCCATAATCCGGAATGATCTTAATCCGGACCTCAAAGCTAAAAACTTTCTGCGCATGCGCCCGTTGGCACTGCGCACAGGCGTTTTCGCGTGCGCGTAAAGACTGACTACTGCGCATAAGCTGTGCAGATACTTTTTCGCCTGCGCGTCTAATGTATAACAGACGGTGTAAGCTAAATTATCTAATTATTATTTCAGTATGTTAATGATTGCGTTGTTCCTAATCTTCGAATGGATCCCTTATTATTTTGCAGACTGTAAGATCAATTTTTATAAAAGTAACTTGAACTTTCGATTATGTCAATAAATTCCGATGCTGCGAACTTCCAAGGATCTACAAAACGAGTACGTTTCGATGTCCACAAACAAAAAAGTGGAATTGCTGCAAAAATGGATAAAGACATGAGAATGTGACAGAGAGGTTGTGAAACGAAAAAATTCGATTGACAGTTAGTCGGTATTCTCGGCACAGCAATTAACGGAACTTTGTAAACTGAACAAGAAATTATGTTTTTACAGAATTAAAGAGAAAGTATTATCGATAAAATGAAGCAACTTAAACAACTTACATTGAGAGAAATGTTTATAATTATTAACTAATTTTTTTTTTTGAGAAATAAAAAAAAATAAAAAAAAAAAAAAAAAAAAGGCAGGGAAGAAACTTGCAGCATTATATAGAGTAAAGTACTAAAAGTACTAACAAAATAAATATGAAACTTTTTTTTTTTTTTTTTTTGTAAATTTTGATACCCTTTAGATCGTAATTGTTCTTTATTTCATAAATTAGGGTTTCATATTTTAATTTTAGAATTTCTGCATGCCATTTTACGAGATTTAAACTGATGATCTATAATCCGGAATGGCCGAAGTCCCGAGTCCAGATTACGACTTTGACTGATTTAGCTTTTCTGTGTTGGTGAAACAGTGTTCTTAATTTTTGGATCCCATGGCCCTAACTAAGTGAATTCGAAATGGGTATTTAATGGGATTGAAAGGGGTAGTAGAAAGTGGTTTTTTAAGGGTGTGTGAGATAGAGAATAAAGATTTTATTTATTTATTTTACCTGGTACCTTGCTGTGAACTATAAGTATGATTTAAAGATCCTGAAACAGGCGCACATACGCTTGCTTTTTATTTAGTGGAGGAAATAAAGAAAGTTTATCGGACACATAATCAAGATTCTGAAGAAAGATTAGGTAAGTTAGTATTTTTAATTATTTGAGGATATTATTTTTATGCATGTTCTAAATGTAAGGAGTAATAAAATAATATGGTATTATTGGAAATTTGTTATTAGCAATGATTTTTATATTTTAAGTAGTGTTTTTGAATTTAATTATATTTTAATTAAATGATAGTTATTTTGTGAATTTATGTTTGTAGGAATTTAGTGTACGCTTCAGTGGAAGTAAACGTGCATGGAAATAATTTTAATATTTGCATGGAATTAATTTAAATATTTTAAATATTTAATTAAGTATTTGTAACCATTTGTAATGTTTGAGGTATGAATTCGTTGGTGACGTTTATAATATAATAGATAATTTAGAGGTAAAAGTTTTTGATATTTTATTTATATTATACGTGGAAATGTTCATTCTTGGATTGGGTTATATACTTTTTCGTGATCAGGATAATTTCATATATGTGCTTTTTACCGAGTTTAAAGATTCACAAAATTTTCATGCATTTTCGTGAAATTTTTCAAATTTATGAGAAAAAAGCAGTGTACATGGATATAGTCAAGTGTGCGCAATGCCATTTTTTTGTGCAATTCTGGGATGTTTTTTTAAGTAAAAAATAAGTCGACGTGTACATGGTTTAGTGATATTTTAATTAAATGATAGTTTTTCTGAATTTATGTTTGTAGGAATTGGTATACGTTTAAGTTGAAGTAAACGCTGATGGAAATAATTTAAATATTTGATACTAAGTATTTGTAATGCTTGCGGTATGAATTCGTTGGTGACGTTTATAATATATAATAATTTAGGGTAAAAAGAGTTTTTGGATATTTTATTTATTTTATACATGGAAATGTTCATCCTTGGAAAGGATATATACTTTTTCATGATCAGGTAATTCATATATGTGCTTTTACCGAGTTTAAAGATTCACAGAATTTTTTTGCATTTTGTGCAAATTTTTGTAATTTATGAGAAAATAGCAGTGTAGATGGATAAAGTTAAGAGTGTGTGCAATGCCTTTTTGTGCAATTCTGGGATGTTTTTTAAGTAAAATAAGTCGACGTGTAAATGGTTTATGCATATGTGATTCTGAAAAACACGCAAGGAGTTTGCGATTGTACACTTTTTCCCAATTTTGCAGTTAATATTTTTCATATTAAGCATTTTGTTACATAAAATGTCTAGCATAAGTGTAATTCGGCTAGTAGATTGTTGGAAATGTTATAAATAAAAAAAAAGAAACATGCTTACTTGTGAAGACAAATGGCGGCAAAAAAAAATTTGCTGAGCAGAGTTGGTCGCCAATTTTTAAAAAAATCGCCAAGTTACCAAATCCAAAGATCAACCGACATCTATTCTCTGCTGTTATCTTTCCTATTTCGGGAGAAATTTTGTTTGCAGTGATAACTTTCAACGCTGACCCAAGGTGAGCATCATTAATACGGTTTCTAATAGGAGACTTATTACCTTTCATGACTGAAAATAACTGTTCGCACCGATAAGTACTACCAAACATGGAAATAATTTTATATGCGAATTTTCGAGTATTTTCAAACCTGGCTGGTAAATATTTGTAAAATTCAGGCACGCCCACTTCAATGAATTTTGCTTTCAAATTTGAGTTGCATTGAATCTCGATCACCTCCATTTGCATATGGCTGGGTACTGAGTCAATACTTATTGAGAAAATCGAAGAAAACAAAAAAAAAAAAAAATTTGTCTTCGAGGGAACTAAAATCATTAAACCTCGTTTCAAATTCAGTTGTTAAATTTGCAATTTTTTCTGCGTATTTTTGATACGAACAAGTATCATCTAAACTTGATTTGTTCATGCTGCACGTCGGGAAGTGCGTCAAATCTTCATTTTTAAGTTGTTTTTCCCAAAGAACTAGTTGACATTTGAATGCTTTAATTATGTCAAACATGTTCGTAATGATATGATCTTTTCCTTGTAACGATAAATTTAAATCGGTTAAGTGTTTGGTTATATCAACCAAGAAAGATAAATCTTGTATCCATATTGGATCGTAAAACAAACTTACGTCTTGATTTTTCGTTTTTAAAAACTGACATATTTCTTCTTTCAAATCCCAGAATTGTTTGAGAATCTTGGAGCAAGATAACCAACGTACCTCGGTATAGTAGGACAAACCCGAATATTCACTATCTAACTCACTTAAGAAAGCAGTGAATTGACGCTGATTTAAACCTCGAGATCTTATAATAATAAAATTTATAACTTTTTTTATATATGACAAAACATTCTCCATATTTATTACTTTCGTGCATAGAACTTCTTGATGTATAATACAATGCATATGATGAATGTTTGAACCGTGAATTTCACTAAGTTTTTTTCTTAGTAATGCTACGAAGCCCTTGTTTTTCCCGGTCATTGATGGAGCGCCATCTGTAGCTACAGAATTTAATTTTGCCAAAGGTAGATTGTATTTCTGCAGAAGTCCAAAAACACAAGTAAATATATCTTCTCCTGTGGTAGTACCAGGCATCGGTATTAGTTCCAGTAATTCCTCAAAAATGTTAAAATTCTTGTCACAAGAACGAAGAAACACTGCTAATTGAGCTTTGCCACTAATGTCCGTGCTCTCGTCACAGGCAATGGAGAAACTTTCGAAACTAGATGATTTTGCTTTGATCTGATCACTTAAATTCGCGGCTAAATCAGTAACTCTTTCCGCAACTGTATTTCGAGACAATGAAATTGATTGAAAAGCCTTCACATTTCCAGGACAAACAATTTCTCCAGCTTTCATTAGGCATTCCTGATGATGAAATCACCGTCAGTAAAAGGCTTCGAATGTTTAGCTATCAACTCGGACAAGACGTAGCTTGCATGTACCGCCGCTTCACTTTCTTGCAATACTTTACTAAACATGGACTGTTGCTTTTTCACTCCTAACTTGAGCTCTTTCAACTTTTCTTCTCTCATTAATCCTTCGTAATTGTTATATTTCGATTTGTGTTGTTCGTAATGACGTTTAATATTATATAACTTTGGTACATTAATAGTATTATTACATATCAAGCAGATTATTTTATCTTTTATTTCACAGCAAAAATATTCTAATTCCCATTTTACTTGGAATATTCTATGT